CAAAAGGGAGGGAGGAAATACAAAGGGAAGAGGAGGGTTATAAAAATCGAGTGGAGAGAGAAGGTATTTCTGCTATGTGTAAAACACGCACACGCACACACACACACACACACACACACACACACACGACACACACACACACACACATTACACACACACACACACACACACACACACACACACACACACACACACACACACACACACACACACACACGAACGCACACACACGTGTATAAAACCATAATGATTTAAAAGAAAAGTTATTGAAATATATGGTAATAAGACTGAGAAACAGGAAAATGGCGACAGTAATAACAATAACTACAATAATGAAAGCTAAGATAATAACAATAATGGCGATGATAACGATAAATTTATGAATTATAAAAATCATGATAATCAATATAAACTTTAATTGATAATTATGATGAAAACATCAAACTAAGATGAAAAGAAATATGTGATACAGTATATTTGATTATCACAAGAATTACAGATTTTCTTTAAAACTTTTCGTATTTCGTGATGCACAAATCATCACATTTTCCGCGCGATGAGCCGTTCTGTGGCTGGAAAAAGATTACTTCCTGCATTTTTGGTGATTATCTCTGTTACATCTATTATTCTTTTTTTCTTCTCTGTGGTTTTTATACTTATTACCCGTTATTTTGTAATTATTCTGTTCTTTGTCTACCTACTACCGTATTTTTTGTAACTATCTCAGTTACCTTTCATTTTTAAACTATTTTTTCATTCTAATTCCTTCAATTTCGTCTCATTTTTGTGTGGCTTTTAAAATTCGAAAAGAAGAAGACAAAGATCCGTTAAAACCGTTAAAAAAGACCGTTGCAAAATAAGAACTTCTTGACTTGGAAATTTCATCAACACGAGGAAATCTCTCGGCCCAAGATTATAAGGCCTCGCTCAAGGGCTCATACCAGGGGATCAGGAAGGAGAGTTCGCGTGGGTGTTGAAGTGTAGATTCGCGTTGGGTTAACGGAGGTGTAGAGTTCGCCTAGGTTATCCGTGTGTGGAATTTGCGCGATTGTTTAAGGTGTATAGTTCGCGTTGTGTGTATAGTTCGCGTGGGTATTTGGAGTGTAGACTTTGCACGGGTACTCAGAATTCTCATGTAAAGTAGTAGAGTTTACATCTGTAGTTGAGAAGTACAGTTTGTATGAGTACTTGTGATGGAGAGTTTGCGTGGGGATTTGAGGTAAAGAATTGACTTCTCTGATCGAGAGAGAGAGAGAGAGAGAGAGAGAGAGAGAGAGAGAGAGAGAGAGAGAGAGAGAGAGAGAGAGAGAGAGAGAGAGAGAGAGAGAGAGAGAGAGAGAGAGAGAGATGAGATGAGATATGGGAAGTATTGGGTTGTGGCTGGCTCTTAGCTAAAGGAAAGATCACGAAAGCTGTGTTTAGGCGACATCAGTGTTATTTATTTCTTCTCGGATTTTTTTTTTTTCAGAAAAAAAAACGAGCGACAATACGAAAAGAAGATATTGGACTTGCAGAACATAAAAAATAACAAAATTATTCGTTTTTACATTTTCATGGCACGCTTTATGTAATGAATCCCGCCCTTTGATCTATTACCATAATTCCGCATAAAAAAACATTGTTTTTGGCTGAACTTACGTGTGTTGCATTCACTACTACTGTTGTGATTTTTATTTTGTATGATGTCAGTCCAGTTTCATAAGCCAGTAAAATTTAACAAACAAACAAAGAAACCCGTACCCAACATCCCAAAACGCGTACACAAAACAAAAGTTTCCTGTGTCAGCCATTTTCACTGGCATTTTGCTGTCTTCTTTGGCATGCAAACTTTCAGCTTTATAAAGAAAATATCGATCTGCTCTATTGCCTGCATGATTTATAAACTACCCTACAATTAAACTCTAAACTAGGCTAAACAAATAGTTTAAAACTATAAGTTCATTCAGTTCTAGAGTTTTGAGTGGCGCACACGACAAAACCTTCTAAGGCGCCATATTGCTTTGACAGATAAGACGCCTCCTGATTGGGTGTCCTCTAGCATGTGATTGGTTTCCGGCGGCATGTGCCTGATAGTGGCAATATTTACAGGTTTGCGAAAGCCAAATCTGTAATAGTATCTTATTTTTATCATTATTTTTTCAGAATCCGAGAAGCGACAAATAAAATTGGTGTGGCCTTAGCTGCAGATGCCACGCCCATTTAATGTTGTTGGAATGGCATATTGTATCGAAAGAAAAAAAGTGAACGTCTATATGAACGAAGAAGCTTATTCTCTCTTTTTTCTTGTCTGTTGCAGGTCCAGAATTCCTTAGAAGGCGTCTGCGATAGAGACATCAGCCACCAGCGACCTCCTGTGGTGACTCCCGTGCTAGCACAGGAACCAAGCCAAGCAGTAACGGACTTTGATCTTCAGTAGCATGTGATGAACAGTTATATATAAAAGAATATATATCACAAGATAATATCGTCATTACGATTTTTTTTTATAAAGGTGCTTAGG